TGGGGGCATCCTTTTTACAACCTCAAAATAATTATAGAATCATAGATCAGTTTTGGTTGGAAGAAACCTTCAAGATCTTTGAGTCCAACCTTTGTCCTAGCCCTATCAACACCACTAAACCGTGTCCCTCAGCACAACATCTACTCATCTCTTAAACACCTCCAGTGATGGTGACTCAGCCACCTCCCTGGGCAGCCTGTTCCAATGCCTGACAACCCTTTCAGTAAAGAAATTCTTCTAGTATCCAACCTGAACCTCTCCTGGCACAACTTAAGGCCATTTCCCCTTGTCCTGTCACTTGCCACTAGGAAGAACAGACCAACCTCCCCCTTGCTACAACCTCCTTTCAGGTAGTTCTAGAGATCAAGAAGGTCTCCCCTCAGTCTCCTCCAGGCTGAACAGCCCCAGATCCCTCAGCTCTTCCTTGTACGACACATGCTTCAAAATCTTTACCAGCTCGGCAGCCGCCTCTGTACCCTCTCCAGCACCTCAGTGGCTCTCTTGTAGTGAGGGGCCCAAAACCAGACACAGTAGTCGAGGTGAGGCCTCACCAAAGCTGAGGACAGGGGAATTCATTTAACGAAAATAAGCATGCTGTCACGAGTGACAATACGGAACTCTCATTTTTCCAGAGGTTCCAGCAGTGGAGCACTTTTATTACCCATATTCTGCAATGTCTTTTGTTCTCTATTCACTGCTTGCAAGTTGCCACTTAAAGCAACACATCTGTTTAAAATACACCAAAGTGCACAACTATCAAACATGTAAATATCAGAATAGATGATGAAGAGCTGTCCCCAAAATGAGCATGGATATTCAATTCCAGTACACATTAAAGTATCGTTAGCATTCCTGTCTCTTTGGCCCTCAGCATAAGATAGAATAACAGACATCAAACATTGCCAAAGAACCATTTAGTCTCAGGCACAAAATGCAGCTTAGTACCATCGTTCACACAAATAAATTTACGTCAGCAAGCTGCTTGAGGATATTGTGTGAGCACAAAGGTTGGATGCTGGCTGTGCTGTAATGAAAAGACTACCATTTAATCATAAAGTCTATTTATTGCAGATCCTCACAGTCTCATCTTTCTCAGCAATGCTGCATGAGCCAGTGTTGCACAGGTCACTGATAAACTTGCACCTTTGCACCAAATCCTTTCTTCGCCTTGATCACTCCCTCAACCACACAGAAGTGATGCTGCCATTCTCTAAAGGTCAGCCTCGAGGACACAAGCGTCTTAGACCTTTGCAGTATTAAAAAAGAAAATAAAAATCTGAAACTGGAAGATGACGTAATGAAATTTTAGAGGTTCTTACTATCATGGGTGCAATTTATCTTGAAGAAACACTGGTGTTTCTGGGCAACTATAGTACAGGATGAAGAATGTTTACCTGCCTTTAGTCATGACCCAAAGACTGTCAACAAACAGTCAGCTTCTTCTATTTCCCTTCGTCTAGCTCTGCATCTGCTTCTTAAATGTCTCTTCCTAAATAAAATAGATTTTTTCAATTCTACTCCAGAAACAGTGCACGAAGTGTAATTAGTTCATTTCACGCTCGTTAATAGTAACAATATTGAATAATGGGGGAAGCAGATACAACAGCAAAGTGAGATTTTTTCTCCTTTGGTGTTGTTAACTGAGTAACGGGTTTCTGTATTTTTTGTCTTTCAGACAATGGATGCTTCAAAGAGCATAGAAGACTTGCACAGAGAAATCAAGTCTGTTGCAGAGGAAACCATGCAGGAGGTTCAGAATAAACCTTTGGGAGAACTCTGGAAATAAAACTTTATACAGGTTATTCTTTCAGACCTAAGGGAAGACTCACCTTTTGACTCTTCCTCTCTTGGATGACTCCCTTACATCACCTTCCAGTAATCACAGCTTAGATCCTGTGTATTCTTCTGGGTCCAGGATGGTGCTGATGCCCTTGTGATTTTATCCACTCCTCCCCTGCATCGTGCATAGTCCCTTCTGTATTTTATAAATTAACACAGGAAGAGCATATAACAAATTCCTTGGAGAATCCTCCCTGTCTCAAGCAGGAGGCTCTTGTTCTAGCCCCAATCCTGTAGTGCAGATGTGGGTATGGAGTAGAGGGCTTCCCCTGGACACAGACAGAGCAACAGCCACGCAACAGCCTTCCCAGTTTGGGGAAACATTTCTGATTCTTCTGCCTCTCCAGTAAATGCATTCCCTGTGCTGAAAGTGGCTCGTAGAAGACTTTCTAATAAATTACTCTCTTAAACATTTTTACAGGGCATTTCTTGATCATTTACCTTCTAGGCGGCTCTATGGGAGGTAAAGGTGCTGCAGTTCAGGCACTAAATCCAGCTACAACTGTGAAATGGAGAGATGAATTCAAGTCAGCTCCTGGCTGTTCAGTAAGACCGATACAGAAACTGAACTGCTGTGGGCAAGTAAGAGTCTGAAATAGATACATAAGCTCATAGCAAGGCAAATTTGTAGGGTGAGTAGCAAAAATTATTTTAGACTGATCAAGTTACTCCTGGGGCCAAGATCAGAGTAGTCACCTCTGACTCCTACACAGACCACAGTGCAATTTAAACAGCACCATACAGGCTGCCAAAACAAATCAGCTATGAATTCATCTAAGTCATCAGTAATGACCAGCAAAGTTCAGTAAACTGGAATTTTAAATAATTTGCAAGATGCACCAAGATACGAGGATCACCAGGAGAGTTAATGTCTCTATCTGCTGGACTCACCTTCTAGCAGTATGGACTGGACTGATCTCCAGGCTGGCCAATAGAAAGACTAAGTCCTGCTTTAAATCTTGGAGAGGCAGACTGAAGTGATCCACTAGCAGGGAGAGGAAGGTAAATGTTTAAAACAAAATTGCTAATGCAAGCATCAGCCAATATGAAAAAAAAGCTGCTGTCTTCACTCTAGAGTTGCACAGCACTTGGTAGCAGAAACACTCCTTGTGAAGGAGGTGAGCACCTCTAATGCTCAATCTGGCCCTTCCAGCAACACTGGAAGAAGATGACACACAGAAAAGCCATTGAATTCATATTAGCCTTAGGCTCCTGACTAAAAAAGTACCTGTGAAAGATCTAAGAAAACCGAGCTTGCCTCTGTTACTGCAGTTGCGTTAACAGGTAAAATCTTGTCTGGCTGTGCTGTCCTTAAGCATAAAAGCATGAACATGAAGTAGTAACTCTTGTGCACAGATAGGAGGGAGTCCCAGGTGACTAGCTCTCCGTAAGGACCTGCCAATAGCAATGGACCTGCAATGGACCTTCCAATTCAACACTATGTCCTACCATTGCACAGCAAAACAGGACAAATGGTTATTGACTTGACTATGCTTGCTTCTGTAACATTTGCTACTGCGGAGCTGGTGCTTAAAAGGCTAGCTGGAATGAAAAGCTAGCAATGAAAATGCAATGAAAAGCTAGCAGTTCAGTAGCTAAACAGCAGGTATGCAATCTTAAAGGAAACAAATTTCACTTTCGACCTACTAATGCAAAAACTTGTAAGCCTCTGCTTGGCTCTTTCCCCTCCACCTCAAAATCACACATGGCAGAGACTCACCAAAAAACCATGTCTTGTCTTGGAAGGGCTTACGCCATTTTAGAAGCAGAGAGATGCTGTGCTGCTTAAAATTCAAGTAGCAGAATTGCTATGGGGGTGTTTTTCGTTTTCTGACAGCATATCTGCCGGTGCTCACCCTCTGGGGCAGGAACATGAACTTGGCAGTCCCAAGCATCCAGCCTCTATTCTACGAGATACACCAAAAGGAAGATAAAGTCACCACTACCACATAGGTAGACTTTTGCGCCCTACTGCCTTCATTGCCCTGACACTGTAAAAACCACAACTGTTTTACAGCATTACCAAACACACTGCAGTTACTAGTTACCACCCGCCATCACCTTAAATTCACGTGCAAGAACATTAGGACAGGCAAAGATTTTAGATCTGTTTATTCAGATACAAATTGAAAGCAGATGAATGGAGCACAGCCCCACTTCCTCTGCTGCCTCTTCCCCCAACTACAAGAGAGAAGAGGAGAAGCAGCCAGAAAGCAGCAAATAATAATTTAGTGACAGAAGCATTGTGGTTCCCAGTTCAAACCTCTGCTTTAGGGACAGTTAGAGCATCAGTAGGTCAGTCATGGGGGAAATGGGTCATTTCTAGCTAGCTATCATCACCCATGGGCACAAAAGCATCAACTGACAGGTTCCAATCCTAAACATACAAAACAAAGCCTTGTAAAACAGGTTTCGAATCTGCAGCATGCATTAAGGGAACTACTTCCTCAATTTCTCTTGCAGTTTGCATTGAAACAGCTCTTCTCCATGGTTTACCTTTCTCTAAATTGTGTGCAGAAGGGCCCTAGGCAGAGCTATCAAAGTAGCTAACATTTCCAGTATAATTGGACCCTATCGAAGCATTCTTGTCTTTACTGCCCTCTTTGGGATGATTACTTGAAATGGGTTTCTCCAGGTTAGCTCCCACAGTACTTTTGTGCATACTCTGCAGGGAGGGGGAGCTGGCAAAGGACTAAAAGGAAGGTACACACAGTTAGGAAGCCTATGCAGCCCTTGGGCATCTCTTCTAACTTGGAAAGGGAACATCCGAGAGGAGTAGTTGGAGGAGCTGCAAACAACTCACCAAGGACACCTTGAGAAATTTTATAGCTCACACTATTGGACCGACAAGATTAATTCCCTAGGCGTATGCACAAGCAGGCACATGACTAGCAGATTCCAGTTGTCCTGTTTCACCTCTCCCAGCTGTGGACTGTTTTTCCCCAGGGCTATGGGATCCAGTTCCCTGCTCAACGCAGCTTTCCTGAAGGTAATTTGCTGTAGAGATTAATCCATTGTAGAAGCATGGCGCTTTATCGACTCAGCGAGCGAGAACATGCACATTTCCTATTCTCCTTCCATTCTTTCTGCTGTTATTTAACCCGAGATTGAGATGTTCCTCCCCAGCAGCATGGGTCTGCTCCACACTTTTCCATTTATTGAGTTACCAGTCACTTGTAAATTTCCTCAACTTCCTTTCCATAGGATGTGAGAAGCAAAGGGGTGCTACACCTGAGAGGAAGTGCTGTGTACTGCAAAGCATGAACAGGAGTTGTACTGCCTCACCACTTGCACTCCAGGGGCTTCACAGCTGTCTTGTTGGGACATGTCTGTTGTTCATTTGAGTTGTGAGCTGCAGTCCAAAGTTGGCCAGTGAGAAGAGAAGCTGCTAAAGGAATTAACTGTACACTTCACCTGCTAAAGGACGGGTGGCTCTATTTAAGCTTCAGAGGGGAGTCCCCATGTAAGGATTTAGTGCTCTAACAATTTCTATGCCTCCCCCAGAAGGCCAACTGACCTGCTGATGTAACAGATAGGCTTTGAACTCCTAAGCACCATAGCGTCCACTTCCAGCAACTGTTTTCTACTGAGAAATTCTGACTCCAGCCAGTAAGGCTGTAATACCCAGCTTGGTTCTTCATCCCAACACAGACAATGCACGCTCCGCTCAGAGGCTGCACAGAATGCCAGGATGGACAAAGAGGCGGAGATGGCAGCAAGCGCCTATGAAAACCGGTAGCCCCAGGCTCTCGAAGGAGCTTCCCTCCCCCCCTCCTCCCCACATATGACACAAATTTGCAGAGTCAGTTTCCTATTTGATTTCAAAGGGATAGGATTTCGAAGTCCTCATCTTCTGAGTCAAAGAACCTTTCCAATCTGTCGGCATCAGAGGAGTCTGCAAGAGAGAAACAAAGCACTATCTTCGTGGGATGAACCGACCGTTCAGCATCAATGATACCAGCAGCTGGAGGGCAGCACAATTTGAGTGTCAAGTACCTGTGAGTTTCAAAAGGCTCAGTGACGTACCTAAATGAAAGCTCTGAGGAGGGAAGAGAGCGTGTCAGTAGCATGGAAAACATACTGGAGAGAACTATTTGGTGTACAGAAGGTGCACCAAGTTTCGTAGATCCCAAACACACCCTCGTGCAGTGCAACTCTGTGCTGTGACTGTTTTGTACAACCTTCCTGAGCAGCAGCTCTGTATCAGCATGATTCCGCCTCCGGAAGCTCAAAATAGAACTTACACAGGTCTGGACTGATATCCATGATTAAGTGATACAGGAACAATTTTCCCCACCATGTATTATTAAAGACTTGTTTTCTGCTATAGTTGCCTTTGATCCAGCTACTGAGGAATGTCATTACACAACATGCACTCCCCTAAAAGCAATTAGTACAGTCCATTTTTGATCCCTCTTTTCCATCCTTCCAACTCCATAGTGAGGAGGGAGCACATAACTAAAGGGGAAGTAACTTTACCATAGGGGAAATTCAGGTGAGAATGTATGGGCAAACTGGGACAGTAAAGCAGAAACCTACGTTAGCTCAGGCTTCAAGAAAGCACTTACTGGACTTGGCAGAACAGCCAGCCAAAAGCTAAACAGCAGCAACTGATGGCTGAGGAAAGAGAGATGCAAAGCTGCAGACCTCCTTCAAACATTCTGTAACATGCTTTAATCCCCACAGCAGAGTGTACTAACACGTAGTGTCGCTGTTTTTAATCCAAGTGTCCACGGTGCTAGCAGTGCAACTTCCAGAGGTGCTCTTCATAGGAGCGGCCCCCTTCACTTAAGTAACACAGCAGAGAATGCAACCAATCAGAGAAAATAAGGACAAGGAGCTGGACAGTCATGAAAGTACAACTGCTCCCTCTAGTGAAGGGTAGGACCGTGAGAGAAATAGAACACCTGTAGCTGTAGCCCATTACAAAAACATTTTTAAGAATAAGAAGGGCAGCAGTTAGGAACAACTGAATACAGATAAAATTGACAGTTTAAAGGGAATCAAGCATTCTTATAAAAAAGGACAGTGAGATAAGGAAGGCTTTGAAAGTTCATGCTAAGGAGAGAGATAGCAAGGAAGCACAGCGTGCAGGACACAAGTGACAGTAAACATGACAGGTTAAGTTTCCCCATGCTTACTCATTCCTCTTGGCAGAAACTGTCAATAGCTCTTTATCTCCTGCAACGTTCATGCACATTATTAACGTGATAAGCAGAGCCTGACAGACAAGACAGTGCCCAACACTTGATCCTTTTTGCATTGCTAGTGGTACATGCACAAGGAAGAACTGTCTGACACTAGAACTAACTTTGCCCAGCCCTGCCTTTGACCATTTTCATTACCTAGAAACTAATTTTCAGCCTCTTCAATGGACTCTTCTGATTCCTCCAAGTATCCTTTACAAATAATAGATTCGCACTGCTGTGATAGCCTATGAACTTGTGTTTTCTTCCCCTCAGTAACCACCACCATTCACAGATTCATTCTAAAAATCATCCTGAGACAATGTAAGATCCACAAACCACTAGCTGAAAGCCAAAGAACTAGATTAATTGACCGAAGAGCTCCACATCAAATTCCAGGCAGAGCAAGAACTGTTGCAGTCACTGTGCAATTCCATACAATTTCCAGAAAACCAAAGGTATCAGCCCACACTTAAACCTCCCTGCATGGCCTCACCTGGTGTGAGATTCAGGACGTCAGGATTGGAGAAATGCGTTGGCTGGCGTTCAACCAGTTCGAACATTGGCAGTGCTCCTCTTACATGGGACAGCTGTGGAGCAAGAGTTGAGCCATGAGAACCAATAACTCTGTACTCATGGTGCTCTAGGTCTTTAAGGGATAATAACAATCTGCTGGGACTTCACTATAGCTGGAAAAACATTTATCAGATCTTTGACTTGCATCATCAACAGAACTTCAGAGCTATGTTCTTTTGGGTAGTTTAATAAACTATTTTCATCTGCTTTAAATTGGGATCATGCTGCAAAGAACATGATCGCTGCGCAGCAGTTTGGAAACAAGACAATTCCCTATATGTCCCAGCGATAAAAACACAAACCTTTTTGATTTGCTGGCACCAATTGTTGAAGTCCTCTTCTGTGTTGCAAAAAAAGCCCTGAAAAAATGTCAAAAAAATCTTTATGTTGTCGATTGATTATTCCTATCTTAAGGCCTTGTATTAACACTAAGCAACATGACCAGTTCTGGGAGCAGTTACAACACTGAACTGCCTTGCTTTTAAACTACAGCTTACACTGCCCCATTGAACTGAACACTCCTCACACGTTAGATGTGACCAGACTACCCAAGTGCTGGAATCATCAGCATAATGGTCTGCTCTACTGCAGAAGGAAAATTGGGCAGAAACAACTCACATGAAAACAAAGGGCAAGCACCTGAGGTTCAGAGGACAAGCCACATGGAATCATAATATCGATTCACATCTGTCCATCAAAAGGAAGGAGTCAAACCACAAACTAAACCTGAGGAAAGGACAGTACCCCATGAGGAATGGCATTTAATTGCCATGCAAGGGTGACTTCTCTGTATCAAACCACTTCCTGCATTAGGAGCTTCGTTATCAACATTACTGAAACCTATGGCAGCAACTTGTCCAGAGCACAGAATGCCTATAGAGTACCCAACCCATCACCACTGTCTTTGCTAGTTCCTCAGGGAAAAGGACAGCTGTGAAACAGGGACAACACTGCTCTTTTGGGTGACCAGAAACAAGCAGCAGGAACGCACCACTGCGATGGAGGGGTCGAGCTCAGCAATGCTCATTCTGCAGGGAGGGTGCTGGCAGTGGAAGCTTTCATCTGGAAGACAGCCACCTTCATTGGGCTCCACTGCAGGCTGCGTAGTGTGGGGATCCAGGTAAATGAGTTCCTCACCTGGACAGACAGGCAAGAAGACATCAACAACGAGAACCGTGCCAGAATCTGGTCTTCCGAGAAGCAAGCGGTGAGACAGAAAGAGGAGGAAGGGTGATGACAGAGCCAGCTCTTGTATCCCCACAGAGGAACCCACATTCTAGGGACAACTTGCTTTCAGCTACTTTCTCAAATGCTTCTCATTCAGGTAAAGAGTCAGCTGCCAGGGAACCACAGTGGCCTCTCCACAGCAACAGCCCAAGATTCCCCCTCTACTCGGCCCTGGTGAGGACACATCTGGAATATCATGTCCACTTTTGGGGCCCTCAGTTCAAGCAGGACAGGGAATTGCTGGGAAGAGTCCAGCACAGAGCCACAAAGATGATTAAGGAACATCTCCCTTAGGAGGAAAGGCTGAAGGAGCTGGGTCTCTTTAGCGTGGAAAGGCTGAGGGGTGACCTCATTAATGTTTATAAATATGTAAAGGGGGAGTGTCAGGATGACAGAGCCAGGCTCTTTTCTGTGGTGTCCAATGATAGGACAAGGGGTAATGGATACAAACTGAAACATAAGACGTTCCACAAAAACATTAGAAAAAACTTTCACTGCGAGGGTGACAGAGCACTGGCACAGGCTGCCCAGGGAGGTTGTGGAGTCTCCTTCTCTGGAGACTTTCAAAATCCACCTGGACGTGTTCCTCCGTGACCTACTGTAGGTGATCCTGCTCTGGCAGGGGGGTTGGACTACATGATCTTTCAAGGCCCCTTCCAACCCCTGACATTCTGTGATTCTGTGATCAAGCCACAGGCACTATTTGGACACTGTTCCTGCACATGCCTTCCATGGTCCTGTGCATGCTCAAGTAGGCTCCAGCAATCCAAAGCACAAATGGCTTGAGGTCTCAGGCAGAGACAGAAAAGTCACAGGGAAGGAAGAGAGTAAAAGGACAACAGTTTGTAGGGTTTCAGGAAGGGGACAACTAAAAGACAGTTAAACCCAGCCAAGCCCCTAAAGGAAGGTGAGCTCTGAGCACAGGAAGAAGTCTCTACACACACCTCTTTATAGACAGGATTTGCCATTACACAGTGGAAGTTTATGGCCTGTACTATGGCCGTTGTTCAGAGCTACATCACTCAGGTCCTCGCAAAGAGGTTCAGTCTACAGCAGCCTTCCACACTCCAGCAGGAAGGAAGAACCCTGCGGCATGCACCACAGACCAAGCAGGAGAGCGTTACTGCTACACAAGCGGTTTTTATCTGGAAAGTCTTCGCAGTACTCTGGGCACTCACCTACATAGCCAATGAAGTAGTGAGCACTGTTTGGTTTCCCTCCGATCACTCCAAGGGACTGGGGCATCCTGAAGCAGTGCTGGAAAAGCAATACAGAAAACACACAGCTGACAGACAGTGAGACTGCAGGTGGCAACAAAAGCAAACATCCAAAATTGCAGTGGGAAATAAAGATGGGGACAATGAAAATCAGCAACTTGGAAACAGCCACTTCTGCAAAGAAGTTCCCTCAGGAAAGCTGAAGACAGCAACAGGGCTTTCAAGGAACACGGAAGCAGCTCAAAACCACTTGTAACTGCTGACAGGAACACACAGTTGGACTGAATGGAAGAAGCTGCACTACTCCAGGACTCCAGTCCTGGCTCTGCTGCAGTCAGTGGCAAGATCTGGAGCTGTCATCAGGCTGCAACAGTGCTCTTTGGAGGGAATGGTCATTCAGGAAGCAATTCGTTATCCAGCTGCAGTATCCAAGCACCATCTACTGAGTTAAGGGCAAGTAACCTCACATGAATTTGGAAATCTCTTACCTGTGCACCTCAGAGCTTGCTAGCATTATGACAGCAAGACAATGCGTACCCTGTCTTGTGCAGGTACTCTGCACGCACTAAATTCTGCAGCCTCCCAATACTCCAACCTGCAACCTCCCACCAGCTTCTAGCCTCATTCTGCAGTGCAAGCTCCAGCATCAGAGCCATGGGGAGTTTGCAACAGTACATTCATTAATGCTCAAGTTGTCACCAAGCACCGCAGTTGTGCTGCACAAATGCTTCAGCAGGTTGGTACCCATCTAAACACAGAGAGGGACTGAGATTAATTTGTGAAATAAGATCCTCAAAAAAATCCCCACCCAAAGCCTCACAATCAAAAAAGTCTCAACCCCAAAAAACTCCCCCACATTTTCCTGACTATAGCCTACAAGAACCCATATGCTGACCACTGTCAAGGATTGTCTCTAAACACATTTTTCTTTTTCACATAGGACAATTACTTTCAAGTATTTTTGCCACAAAACCAGATTCCAGAAATTACTTAGTTCACAACAGGGTCCTTAAGCATTAGAACACCAGGAATTTAGCCCCAGTTCCCCTACCTTTAGTGTTTCAATATAGGCTTCATTGATCTCCGTGAGCCCAAGGCGGAGAGGTATCAGCAGCACCAACGGTTTCCACAGTGAGAGCCTATCTCTAACCCCTGCTTCCCCATTATAGAGTACATCTGACTCCACAGAAGGGCACATTGCAGCTCCAGCACATGGGAAGTTGGACTGGCACAACCGCCCTACAGAAAGGGAACATGAGCAGAAAGCATCAGAGACAACTTCAGTTTCTAGACTTGGAGTAATTCTACTCAACCTCTGACCAACTATTGCTATTTACTAAAAGTCTACATCACTTAATAAAAAAAAAAAGCTTAAAGAGGTCCAGCACCGGGATAATGTGATGTACGTACTCCCTGCAGGGCTTCTGGGAGGGTTAGGCATTTCATCTAATCTTACATCAAGCTTATGCCAAAGCATGCTGCACTCACAGCCACCATCTGGTGGGCTATTAAAATGCAAATTCTTCCAGCAGGTGAGCAGCTAAGCAACAACCTGTGCCAACATTGATTAGGAGGCCAGGCCAGAGTCCTGAATTCAGAAAGCACGTATGCAGAAAGAGAAACACCTGGAGTGTTCAACTCCAGAGGAGTTCACCAAGAATATAAAGACAGTTGAACTGAATGAGGAAAGCATTATGGCTTAACACAGGAAATACTCACCTGTAATTAGCACTGTAGAAAGATACAAACATGGTGTCTGTCTAGAGTAGCTGTAATTTATTTACTAAAGTTCACTAAAGCCTTCGTGATTTTTATCACAGATCATTCAGAAACTACTTTAGAGACCTAAAGAAAGATGATTATTAAACTCTGCAATTTCAGCATGAGCTTTGCCTGGAAGACATGGGGCAGTAAAACTCCTGAGGGCGCAGGCATGACTTAAGCACTACGTATCCTGATTCTACAGGCTTGACAAACACACAGGCAGGCTGTAATGCAACCAGATTATGTAAATTTTGGTGCAGAAACATCTCCAAACCTACCTGTCTCACTGGCAAATTTCATTACTTGCTGGGTGTGTGAATCAAAAACCCAAATCTCAAAGAAACCCACAGCACTTTAATGACAAAGCCAAGACATTTTGTCTAATTCGACAAAATGCCCGAGGCTCATTTAATTTATTCCTGGCCCAAGCTGAATGCAAGGACACTCTACCAGGTAGGACACAATGTAAACAAACACCTTCATCACCAGCCATTTCAGCAGCATGTCTGCTCACTAAGAACTTGAACTCAGCTAAACAAGGAGAATGTAACACCCAATGTTAGAAGCAATAGGACTTTGATCTAAAGCTTCAGTATGAGAGACAACTTACACTCAAGACCTTGCAGTTGCTCACTATACTGTCCTACTTAAGGAGGGAAAAGGTGCATATGTGCATCTCATGCACAGACATATTATAGTTACTGAAGGTCCTGAAAAAATGGGAAGTCATTATTCACAGTGATTTATACTGTTAAAATAGTAAAGATCATGGTTTTTTTGTTGCAGTAGCCTGCTTGTCCTGCTGATCTGAAATTAGCTGCCAAGGCAGGGCTGTTACTGAATGGGGTGTCACTGCAGGCTTCCTCATCAGGCAAAGTAACTGGCAATCCTGCACTGTGCTATGAATGTATTTCACCTAAGTTCAAGCAGTAGGGAGGTTGGCACAGACTAAATTCACCTTGCTTCTTTGGTAGGCCTTGCAGTGCTATGGCAGGAGAACCTGCCTAAAGCTTCCCGGCTGGACCCAAACCATTTACTGCAAACATATTCCAACAGATTTGACACATCTCTCCTGCTGTGCTGCTGCTGTCAGGTACTGGCTTTACTGTTGTGGTTTATTTACTGTTGTGGTTTAAAACCACCTTTCTAACCCACAGAATCCTCCAGTGCCCAACTAAGAGCCCCTTTCTGAAACAACAGACTCCAAAGGGATAGAGCTGGATGTTTCTTCACTGCTGTAGCAAAAGGCATTTCCTACAAACCTTAGGCTGAGTAGCATTAGTGACCAAATTTAACAGATACATGAAACTGCATTAACTTCTGAATGCTTCACTGTCAACAGATGTTTGGGGCACAAGACACATAACACATACATACCTACAGACATAAAACATATCAGACCCAAGCATACAGTAAATTGCAGACCCTGAATGGGTACACTGTGATTCACGATTGAGGAAAAGAAACAAACACACCTTGCGCATTACAAACTGTACAGACACGTTACTTAAAGCACTGTCAGTGCTGAGCAGTCAGTTCCACACAAACAAAAGCCTGCAGCACTCAAGCCTTGCAGCTAGAATGCTTCAGTTCTAGAAGTAATGTTTTTAGGCTAAAGGTGAAAGATAAATTCAATTTCTCTTTTCATGTTGGCCCTTGTTTAAGCCAAGGGCATTGGGACATACCTTCGTAGGACTACACGTACCTAAGGTTAGACGGCCATGTCTCAAATCACATCCTACCTTTCTTCACCTCTCAACTGAGACTACCTGATAAGAGATTTGACTTTGTAAAGTGACTGTCCTGTACTCTGGGGATGAACTGCCTGTTAATTGATTTTGGCTCAGTGGCAGCCAATGCCAACTGAAATAATACCTGCTACGATCTCACCTGCAACCTTGCACCAGCTCCAGCACTCACTGGATTGTTCTATGTGCCATTTCAGAACACTAACCTGTCAGAAGACATTCCATAGTTTTGTGCTGTGTAAGCACACTTCCCCACGAGCTAGTCTAAACGTAGAGAGGGGAAAGCTTGTATGCCCAGGATCCTGCAGGACTGCAGCAACCAGCAATGTAGACGCTCAGCTTTTTTTTACTGCAGCACCGCAGCCTGAGCAAACATGCTAGGGATGAACACATTGCACAGCTGCTCAGTCTCCAGAGCCATCTTACTGTGAGGATGCATTAAAAAAGCAAAAAACAGAAAAAAAACCCCCAACTACACAACACCCCTTAAAAAATGATGAGATTCACTCCGGAGATGGAATACCTTCTCCTCGCCCCTGCCAATTTTGTTCATCTTCCTCTTCAGTGATCTATTCTAGTTTTCTTACTCTGCCTGACAGCAGAGACATTCCTACCCCATTAATATGAGAGGAAGCCGCCATTTACCTGTGGCAATGAACAAGTTTGAAACTACATTCCAAGCAGCTCCCACCTGCTGTCTGAAGGTCAGCAGACCTCTCCAGATCCAAAGGCCACGGTGCTAAGTCACAGGCTTTATCAGATGAAGCAAAAGTCAAACAAGGGGCTTCCTTGGCCTAGCACAGCAATTCTTGTCTGGTTTTAGCATGCTTGTCCATAGATTTAAGGCAGAACATTTACTTCACGACTTTGTGCTGTACTAGTATATGGTCTCCATTTTTTTTCTGGCTTCTTGCTCCTGGAGAACATATCACACTTCACCTCCATGGGATACTTACGGATTTCTTCCATTACGACTGTGTTGTCCATAGCTATATGTACTGCCAGTGAACTCCACGTATCAAAAGTTGCAAGTTTTCTACAGGAAAATAAATAAATAAATAAATAAATGAAAAGTAAGCAACAGTTAGTTACAACTGCATCAGGAGAGACTGACTTTCATCAGTTATGCTGTGAAGCATGCTTTTATGTATGTATCAGAGTTGTACACTTCATTTCCACTAGTTACTATGGCCGGAAGAATAAACAAGATTGCAAAAAGCACCACACCTGGAAATCTGTTCCACAGGAGCTACCAAGTACAACAGTCCTGATACAATCACCAACTCAAATTCTATAGCTTCTGGTTACCCGAAAGGACAACACCACAAAAAAATAAGTAACAATAATTTTGAAAAAAGATCACTTTTACTTTCTGTACATATCCCTGGATCACCTCTACGAGGTCCTGGGATAATTCAGCATAGAATTTGACCTGGAAGAGTTGCTTTTAGGTAATCCTAGCCTACTCTAGGGAGCTACCTGCTCATTTAATCAAAGTGAGGGAAGAATGGTGACAGGAGCAAGAAAGTTTCTCAAAGTACAGCGTGTGCCAGTGTTTAAAGGCAGTCCATGCTCCAGCACTGCTCTAGTCCTCTGCCTGTCACCAGGGAACCCAGGCAGTAAATATCAATGCTTTCCTTTGCTAATGCATTAGTAACTTTGTGGTTCACTGGCAACTTTTTTATAATGACACTGCTGTCAGATCAGCAGAGGCAACTCAGAAGCTAGCAGAGATCCAAACGTCAGAAATGATTATCTACTCTGACACTTGCTTCTGGTTAGCTGCACAGTATTGCACTGAGTTTTGGTGGCAAGCACATCACTTGCAGGACATGGAGAGAGATTTTTCGGGGTTGTCCTCAGCTTGAAATTGGTCTTCTCTCACACCCTGTCAGTATCTGAATGACAAATGGGATCCTTCCAATTTCTCGCCCAAGCAAGTTGCCTGCTAACAGCATTAAAACACACACTTGCCCTTCAAGCTAGGAAGTAGTGCAAATCAAATGACCCCGCTCCGTGGTTCAAAAGATATAAAGGAAAAACGTAGCACTTACTTGAGCACTTGTGCAACTGTGTTTGGTCCATACCACTGACCTATGGATTTTCCTTCTCCAACTCCCATCTGGGCTGCATCACAAGAAACAAAACAAAATCAATTCAGTAAATAACTTCACCTACACTGCATCCCTTTCTAATCAGAGCTTGTATTTAATAGGGAAGAAATCTCACATGGAAACTTTTTTAAGTCAGCAGAATCTACCCTTTTGTGAGGTATCTTAGTGTACATGGGAGAGAGAAGCATATCCTGAAGGAATGTAAAGCAAATCATTTTCCCAAAATGCAGTAACACAAAAGTTCAAAAAGTAATGGTACCTCAGAAGAGGTTTTTAGAGTGTTTGGCTACTAGACCACCCCATTATCTGAAGTTCTGTTTGCTGAAGCCTTAACATCCTACAGGAAAAACCAGAAAAGACTGCTTCTCTTATTTGCCAGGGCAGTTTATATCAAAGCGAAATCCTTCCTTAGTCTATTAACTACTTCTGAGAATCTCTTTGCTCAGCAATCTTGTCATACTACAAGGCCCTAGTAAGAACAGCAACAACGTGTGTTCCTCTCACCTTAGCTAGCTAGGATACAGAAGGTCATGCTGAATAACCTAAAGCATTAGGCAAACCTGATGGCCTTAATGCAGTCAAGAAGGAATATCCATTAAAATCCATAATAAAGACTGGTAGTTTTACATCATGTCAGAAAACAAGTAGTGTATTATCATGCACTACCTGACTTGGTGAGGTGTTTTTTTTTTGTTGTGGTGTTTTTGTTTTGTTTTGGTTTTTTTTTGCTAAGCTAGTAAAACAAACACAGAGCAATATTCTACACTCATGGGAAACCCAGACTGAATATCTCCATGCTTTTCAGCACCCAGACTCTTACCTATCTGGTGAATGGAGTAGTAGCTGTCTTTTTTGTCAATGAAGGCATTAAGAACATTGAAGTAATTATCCATCTGCCTCTTCCCTTTTATCCACCTCCAGTCTAAGACAGACAAGGGGATATATGAAAGAAAATACGGAATGTTTTAGCAATTAGAAGCTGCAAGCTACAATGATGTTCCCAGTGCATCAATTGGCTGACCCGATTTTCTTGTTGCTATCTTCTTATTAGGCATCTGAGCCATTTCCAACACTAAAGGACTAATTTTAAAAGAAAAGTAAGCATTCTCACAATTGGGATAAAGGAATATAACACAGAGAAAAGCAAATAAACACCACCCCCTCCCACCAAACAGAAATGGTACCTCTATCCCACTTATGAGAACTAGGATTACAATTCCTCATTGAGAGGCAAGTTATATATTCTGGTAAAAAAAACAGGTGACCTTACTTCAAAAATCATCCTCCACAAATTCAAAGACCATCAACAACTGTCAGCCAAACACCATGGTATAGCTGCTTGCAGACCAAGCACACGTCACACACAAGAACAGAAGTATTCAGGGAGAGGAGATTACACTCAGTGAGGGCTTTGTGACATAATCGAACTACAAAAAAGAAACAACCTACTAAGTTGTTTCAATATTTAGCTACAAAAAAAACCAAGAAAAATCTAATAAGTGCTTGGCTTCAGTGGATTTAACTAGCACACTACAAGGCTCTGCTTTGTTTTAAGGCTTGGACAATTATATCTATGCAGAGTTGTAGACAGCAGCAAAAAACCTGCTGGAGGCTTTCATTAGAACAGCCCTGAACTTGAGAAGATCGAAGAAAAAAGTTATATAGGCCTCAGCAATTCCCAGTTGTGCCCTTGTTATTTGCTGTCCTTACAAACACTGCACTTGCAGAAGCACGTGGCCCTGGAAGTCAGTATGGACCGTGCACTGGTTTACCTCTTCCCAAATGCCTGCAGACCAAGGCCTGAGCAAAGATCATCTGGCCACATCGCAACATACAGCCCCAGCCAGTATCAGATGTGGGACCAGTTCCTCCTGCAAACAAGGACAGAAAATAGATATGGAATGAATAGTACAACAGTGACAAGAGGGAGAATAAATGAATGCATGGATAGCAGGTTCACCCAGGAAACAAGGCACGGAGTAAGGACTACCTTAGCTCACACACTTCAGGCTGAGAAACAAAAATGCGGTGAGTAACTTCATGGCATCCCTTAAAAACAAACAAACAGAACCCTCTAACACTAACTGAAAGGGGAAAAAAAAACAACTTCAAATGGAAATCCAAATAAAACTAGAAAGGGAGTTGAATTTCTCAGGAGCACAACAGCCCTTGAGCTTAGTTGCAGACTTCCAGCCCAATTCAAATACACATTTCTACACAGAAGTACTTCCTCATCTTGAGAAGGCAACTCATCATGCAAACCAAATAATTGCCAAGGAATTCCCACATCATAAGCAGCTATGACTGGATGAGATTCCAAAGGGAACAACACAGGCCAAAAAACTCCACCAGCGAAAAAAAAAAAAAAGCCACCACACCCCAGCAACAAAAACACCACATCCTACATAATACTGGAGAATAAGCTGAATATTAGCTCACACTGGAAAGCCTGAGACAAAGGTCTCAAGGCTGGAAGCACTTCCCTGACAGAACTTCAAAACGAAACTGCTGCTCCTCCACTGAAGCTCTGACTACTGTTACAAGCTTCATAGATACAATGTTTAGTGTGACCACAGCAAGCGAGCTGTCTTAGAAGCATGCAGTCAGTTGTGCTTTAGCACAGCCGGTAGAAGTAGTTTCATTGCAATGCTGCTTTCTTTCGATCCTATGTGACTGCTCTGCATGAAAAGCATAGGGAGAAAAATTACCCAAGAGAACTATTTTATCAATTTCTGGATGGTCAGCAGCTATCTTCTACAATTTTGTCAGCAGTTTGTAAGATATACAACATCCAAAGTTGATAAAGCTTTTACACTAGCCTAAGACATTCCCCTTAAATACTGTAAGCTCTTCAGAAGGTAAGTGGCCAAGCATGGAGGGATGTGACCAAGAATAAAAGGGATGACTGGGAGAACAAAGACTGCAAAAGGAAAAGGTTCACTGTATAACATGCAAATTGTATCTACACTGTAAGTGGGAAATGACTCAGAAAATGGGATTTATTTTTGCCCTGACCTTCAATAACTTGCACAGGAACCCCAATTGTGTTTGTGAGCTATACTTAAAACACATGCTAAACCCTCAATTTCAAACACATGCTTAACTATGGCTCACAAACGCGAATTTAAAAGGATTAAACAGCATCAAAGATGTCTCATAGCTTGTTAGGCAAGTGGTTTCCCAACAGGGAAAGAACGGAACAAGCCGGAAGGACCAGCTACTAAGAAGTCTCTTTTCCAAATTTTCTCCATTGACTGCTGGGGATGATAACAGGGGGGACATGGATAGGGCTTGGAATGCCATTTACATCCTTTTAGATCACTTCTGATACACCTTCCACTCAGTACACAAAGTCAAACCAGAGAAGAGACCATTCAGAATGTCTTAAAAAATCCAAAATGTCCTCCTTCAAGTTCACTGGGAAACATTCCTCGTATTACTACAGTTCTTGTGTGTAATGGCCACCTTCACGAACACCTCACATAGAAACAAACAAAAAACCTACACATAGTCTAGAGCAGATGCACTAATGCACTAACTTCTGTATGATATCTCTAGCTTTCACCATTTTAAGGAACTTCAAGCCCAGAAGTATCATTAAAAATATTTCACATTAGACTTTTGTAGGATGTAATGAACATGAAGTACAAAAATCTTCCCATGTTTGTGCAAAGAAAAGATGTTTCTAGGTAGACTTCCCAAACTTACTCTTGTGTCCTTCTTAAAAATCACCACTATCCCTCATACCCAAGATGATGAGGAATTCTCATTACCAGATAAACAAAAACTCTATCCCGTCAATTAAATGAAGTACATTTCAGGTTCTTATAAATGGAAGCACATTAATGTTATGCTTGCGAGGACTGTTTTATTGGATATAGATAACCGGACTATAAAATTTCCAGGATGTTCTTAGACTTGTCCACAGCACCTACCAATAGCAGGGAAATTCTTTCTGTAGGTGAACCAAAGCCGAGAGGTCACATCCAACAGGATCTCTTCTTTCTCTGAAAAATGTTCAGCATTAGAAAGCACACACGTGAGGGTAGCGCCAAACACGGCTAAAGCCATCTCCCACTCACCCTCCCTAACGACACCAGTGTTCTGCTCCTCACAGTCTGCATGCCTAGAGAGGCAAAATCTGGCTGAGGAACAGGGCAGTGCCGCTGTGTAGAAAAAACTTCCTCCCCTGAAACAGCTCCAGTCAACCCAAAGACACCATGTAATAAGCAAATTATAAAGAAGTAAACCAGCTTCTTGCCTTTCCCTTGAGCTATCCTGTTGCCTCAACCATCCTGGCCTCATGATACAAGTCCCAATAACTACTATATGGCAACTCTCTACACAAAAATATTCCAGAGTTCATGGAGATGGCCAGACAGACAGAAGTATGGCAGTAACAGGCTGCACACTTTGCCAGCAGACTCTGCAGCGTGCTTTAATATTTGCAGTCATCTTGCTGCTCAGAAAGTGAAGTGCAACACTAACAAAGTCCTCTGAAGCAGTAAAGCACACTGCAACATGCATGCAAAATACCTGTAAAAACACTGTATTTCCGGCCGAGGATCCAAACTGGTTCTTTGGTCTCAGGGAAGTCTTCATATTCAAACCTGAGTGTGTCATATGTAAGAGTAGCTAGAAAGAGAAAGAAGTTACATACCTGTTGTAGCTTTTCCTTGTGTTTTAAATTTATACAAAACTACAGAACCAGAGCTGCTGTGGCCCAGTAACTTAATGTATCCTGACCACTTGCCTCTAGCTGGGAAGAAACAGTACAGCTTCCCTTGCAACCACCAACTCTGGAAGACACAGAGAGCTGATGTAGTCCTGTCTCATCCCTGGCTGCTCCACAAGCAGAAAAGCAGAGGGATTTCCAGGTTAGGTCAGCTCCAGGTTCTGCTCAGTCAAGAAAGCATCTAAACCTGGCAGCTGCACTTTGTTTCTCAGAACAGGCATCATCATGCATGTCAGACTCAATGGTATCAAGGTCCTCTTTTCAAGTGAGCAAAGTCATTAACAACTTTCTCCCAGACCATTATGTAACTGTTAAATTGGCTGTTGAAACTCTCTCTCACAGCAAATGCAGTAATACCTGTGGTAATGCAACTTGAGTTTAAAACTTGAGTTTTAAACAAACTAAACAACCACAAGCTCCTCTCAGTCCCATTTGCTGTGAAAGCCACCACCCTCTGTGGTGCACACCTTGTTTTTTGCCTTGCAGGAGAGTCATCTGCTGTTTTTCTCCAGTGCTGACCTCACCCTTCTCACACATAGAAAACATTCATAGATGAGCTTTCCTCCCAATCATTTCCTGCTTAGCTGCACCAGTAAATTACTTGGCAGGTCAAGGATAGCTCCAGAAAGTCACTATAAAGTTCTGCTCTCCTTTCTTCCAGACGTCTAGGATACTCCACACTGTGCTCAGGCAAACATGCTACGCAAGAATTTTAGCCTCCTGTAAGCACCTCATCAGCCTTCTGCCCTTAGGCTCTCTGACCTGAAATTCCAATTCCAAATGTCAAAGAAAATACTTAAGTAGCAGTAGGAAGACACTATCACTAAGACCAACTACTGTTTAAGCAAGAACCCTGGCAACAGACATGAAAATAGTCTCCTAAATCAAATTCTGAATTGGTCTTGGCTTGCTTTGCCCCCTTTCTCATTCAGTGTTGGAGATTTCACTTTCCAGGGAAGAAAGCGATGTGACTTCTGCAGATGTTTTTAAGTGCGCATCACTTCCTAACTTCTCTCTTAACTTTCAGAAGTTTCCCTTTGGGATGAGACAGTACAAGTTTATTCTGACCACTCAAAGGGAGGCTAGTCATTAGGTTTTTTAAAATTCAGTGCATTACCAGATACAACCTTAACACAAAAACTGAAGTTCTCAGACAGGTTTTTAAGCTCCACTGAATATCTTACTATTTATTTTGTCAGTTCTCAAGCTTGCCATGAATTTAGTGCTCCGTCAAAAAAGTCTCAGCTTAAATAAAATGACTGAAACAAGGATGCTACACAGAAACTATCAAGCTACCCATAATCCCTCTTTCTCCTTCCTAGCAACATTTCTTCACCTTCTCAAATGTCACACCCTCTATGACTCCGCATTTCACAGGGTACTACGTTCTTAGCAAGCACAGGATTTGCAAGTGGCAGCTTCACAGCAACGATCTGCTGGAAAGTGGCTACAGGAGTCTTTCCCCTTCAATGAAAGCTAAGGGCGGAAGAAGTCAACAGGTGGAAGGGATTCCAAAGCTGGCCTGCTGGAACAGGTGCATGTGCAGGGAACGCTGTGCATGCAAACTGCAACTGCCACAACACTGCACATTTGGGAGAGGAGTCCCAGACATGGAATCCTTCAGCTGCATGTCCAACATCTGGCCTCTGTGCAAAGGTCACAGAAGAGAATCATAGAATTGTTTAGGTTGGAAAAGACCTTTGAGTCCAATCAGAAACCTAACGCTGCCAGATCCACAACTAAACCACGTCACTCAGCACCACACCTACATGATTTTTACATACCTCCAGGGGTGGAGATTTCACCACTTCCCTGCACAACCTGTTTGAATGCTTAACCAACTTTTCAGTGAAGAAATCTTTCCTAATGTCCAACCTAAACCTTCCCTGGCACAACTTGAGGTCCTGTCCTCTTGTCCCATTGCTTGTTACATGGGAGAAGAGACCTATACTCACCTCACTACAGCCTCCATTCAGGTAGTTGTAGAGAGCAACAAGGTCTCCCTGAACCTCCTCTTTTCCATGTTAAACCATTCCAGTTCCCTCAGCTGCTTCTCATAAGACTTGCTTTTGACTCCCTTCACCAGCCCTTCAGCACCTCAATGTCTTGCTTGTAGTGAGGGGCCCAAAACTGAACAGAGAATTCGAGGTGGGACCCCACCAGTGCCAAGTAAAGGGCAACATCACTTCCCTAATCCTACTGGTCATTATTTCTGATACAAATAGTCCTGGAGGTCCAATTGTGCACCCAAAAGATGCGCACATTGGGGTTTTTTTGGAAGAAACTACCTGCCACCATCTGAAAAGGCTAAATGTAGGAGTTAAGGTTTCACCTTCACAGGGAGAAAAATTTAAGTGATTGCTCCCAGTTAGTATCAACAATTTCATAATGTGAGCAATAAATATCCCATAAGGCTTGAAGCCATTGTTTCCTTTACTACTATCGACCTTCATAAGCTCTGTCCCTTTTTTAAAAACTACATCCATTGTGCTATTGCCCAGATAAGCTAAATATGAGCCAGTGGGACGCAAACAATTCAGGCAGGGGTACAAAGAGAGCCACAGCTTGCACAAGAGCCTTTCTCTCCCTCTTACAGTTAGAGGCAAAGGGTCTACAAATAAATAGAACTGGAAATTCACCAAACAGAAATCCTGTTTGAAGATACTCCTTTCAGAGCTGCAAAAGTCAGGCGAGATCAGCAAATTTCTCAGGCAGCACTCCAAAACTTCACCTTCAAGAAGTCCTCAATCTATTTTAAATAGCAACCTCTGAGCATCCAGGACAGTAGAAGAGCAGCCTCTGCAGAAAACTAGAGTGTACATCAAACACAGTATCTCTACTTTTCGTGTGCAGAGGTCCCTTCCAACTGTGACGATTCCGTGATTTATAGTTAAAAAGCCAAGAGTTTCAGCCCTGCAAAGCACACCCTCAGAAAGGTGGCCTCGCTTTCCTCGAGTGGCAGGCATGCTTGTGAATGATGTGAAAATGTCTGGATCTCCGACACCTGGGCACATCTTCCATGGGATGTGTCGTAGTGTTCCAGGACACCTTCTCATCCCACACCCTCCCTAGAAGGTCCTGACAAAAAGGCAAAGCTTTGTACGCATAACTACGGAAAATACCTATATTAAACAACCTAGGTAAAGGTATTCAAACTAAAACTGCATTAAATACCAGGATTAAGCCTGAACATTTGATTCATAGGTTACTTGGTTAGAAGGGACCTCAAGGATTATCCGGTCCAATCCTTTAAGGTAAAGAAATACAGTTTAAATGAGATGGCCCATCACCCCATCAAGCTGAGCCTTAAAATTGTCTGAGGTTGGGGAACCCACCACTTCTCTTGGAAAACTATTTCCAGAATCACAGGATGTCAGGTGTTGGAAGGGATCTTGAAAGATCATCTAACCCAGCCCCCCTGCCAGA